TGGGGGAGGGCGAATGGGGTAAAGGGACACATACATATGGTAACGAATGGCAGCTAGACTTTTGGTGGTGAACATGATGTAGTCTATACAGAACTCAAAATATAACAATGCACACCTGAAATTTATATAATGTTATAAACCAACATTACTGCAGTTAAAAAAAAAGAAAGACTTAAGTCTTGGCAGTTTCTGCCTTTGCACTGTGGGAAGCCCTGAGCAGCCAGGGCTAGAATTCTAGCCGCCCTGCTGGAGAGACCATGTGGAGAGGGAGAGGCCCTGCCGTCCCAGCTCCCCAGCTGAGCCCTGCCCCAGCCTAACCACCAGCTGAATGCAGCCACAGGAGTGCCACTGACATGCCCATCAAAAGCCCAGCTAAATTGTAGAATTGTGAGCAAATAAAATGATTGTTGTTTTAAGCCACTGGTTCTTGGGATGGTTTACACATGGTAATAGACAAGTGAAGCACTAACTATTGAATCTTACGGAACTCCTACTTGAGGTTTCTAAATGGAATTTTCTCATAATCTCATTCACCACGCCATTTTCTGCTCTAAGTTCTTAATCAGTCAGGGCTACCATATACAGTTATATGGGTCATGCACTGCACCACGGCATCCTGCCAAGAGAGCCAGTGGGGATTGTTTGCCTGGCCTTTACCTAGACAGGGCATGTTTTCTGAATTGAATGAATATGACTTATGGACTCCCAGAGCTCTGACAAAGATGACTTGGTTGAATCAAATGCGAAGCTGTTGACCTGGCCTCCAAGGTCATTTGTCAACTGCCTGCTGCCACCTCCGCTCTCTTCTCCAACTTTCTCCAACCCGGTCTCCCATCCCTCGTCTCCAGCCTCAGCTCAGCGGAGTTACCCCACCTCCCACCCTCAGACGTGCCCATCCTGCCTTCCAGCAGCAGCAGTTCCCAAACTGGGCCTGCGCCTTCTAGGAGAGGACACGAGTGCAGCCACCAACCCTCTGTGGACCAAGGTGCCAGGACAGTTTTCATCTTATATAAACTTCAGGGGATCTGGTGTTTGCTCACAGGCACATTTTTCAGGGATTTCCAGGTGTGGTAAAGTAAGAAGGGATGGCAAAGCCACGTGTTATTCCACTTTCGGTCTTCGTATGTAGAGGGCCAAGCCTGGGGGACGTGAGTTTCTCTGCCCCCGGGAGGGCGGTGCTTCTTTGGACAAAGGTACAGACCACTGCGTCTGAGCCAGGCAAGCCAGTCTCCTGGGGAAATTTTTTCCTCACAATTCACGGCACAACCAGAAAGCAAAATGTTCCAACACGCTGTGCAAATGGACCATCGTGACACGGGATACACGTTGTCGAACTTTGTAATCTTACCCTTCGTTAAATATTCAGCACAGACGATCCGATCTCTTCCTTTGCTCAGCTCCCCCCTTCCTCCTCCGCATTCCCTCCTCCTCCATCCTTCTCTCCATTTTACCTGCCTGCTGGGAAGTGCTGACTCAGAATGGCTTTCCTGTCAGGGACACAGCCGAGGGGATTCCTAGACACCGGACGAACGTACAGATTATTTTCTCTGACTCGGGATTCTTTATAGAAAATACAGTCACTGCCTGGCGGGACTTGAGATGCATGTCCCACGGAGACCACCCAGGTTATACTGCAATGGTAGTCAAAGCACCCAACTGTGGGAGGGGGAAGCGATTGGGTGCTCACCTGACCTGGTGCCAGAAAGGGACAGCGTGCCCGGTCATGTGTCCTCCATGTAGGTGGGCTGTTCAGGACGACTAGCATCTCAGGGAAACTCAGCATTCTTCAGGGCAGCGGGCTAAACTAGCAATTTCTAAGCTGCTCATTATTAAGGCTGGCCAGTGATCTCTACAAATATTGAAGGATGAGAGGCCTGGATATAAAATATTTCCCTGGGACAATAGCTTGGCAACTGTAGGCTGGTAGCTACAAAATAGAAGTGGTAGTAATGATTTTTTATATTATTACAGAAGTAATAATTGCTACTTTTGATTGAGCAAATATGACATGTTAAGGGCTCTCTCTATATTACCTCATTTAATCATTACAACAACTCTGTGAAATAGGTAATATCTACTTTTGAAGATGAGAAGAACAAAACTCAGAGTTTTAATAACTTTCCTAAGCTGGTAGGTGGCAGACCCATGACTCAAACCCCATCTGAGTGAGGCCCACGCTCACATTCTTCCCTCCACTCCGCCCTGCCCAGTGGGACGTGAGCATCACCACATCTTCAGCAGCACAGACTAGGCTCGCCCAGGAGCAGACAGAAGCTCAATCACCCTCCTTCACACCTCCTGCCCGTAACTGCCATCACCTGGCTGCAGAGCAAATCCTCTGGACTGCTCTGCCTCAGCCCTGGGATTCTGCCCTTCGAGTTTGAGAAATTCTGGAATAAAGCAAGGTTTGTTACACTGGGTCACCTTATGTTGATTCTCTGGGGTCCTGGTCAAGCTCAGGCTCTCAATGCCTACACAGAGAGCAGGTCTGGTCTGTGCCGGGTGAGGGGCTCAGCTCCCAGAGCAGCCAGCTCTTTTGCAGTCCATAGTGGGTCTGGCGTGGAGGGGCCAGGCTGGGGGCGAGGACACAGGTCCTTGTCCCTTCCCCACTAGGTGCTTGCCCAGAGTTCTCCATGATGCGGGGAAGAGTCAAACCTGGGGCACCTGATTTGGGATTTGAGGGGCATTTGTAGTGTCCTTGAAACACGCTTTTTAAGACCACAAGGTGGTTTCACACCCGTTTCTTCTAGCTGAGGCCTGAGAAAATCTAAATAAGGTATAGAGGCAGTTGCCATTCGGGATGATTTTTCTTGAGCAGAGATGACAAGTGTTTTTGTAGGGAGAAAGCACTCTATCCCTTCAACTCCCTCAGTAGGAGCTCCAGAGAGAGAGGTGGCTTCAGGGGCTGGTCTGGTGCAGGAGGTGAGAGAGTCAGCTAGCTGGGTCATGGCTGGAGCTAATGTCCTGTTCCTTAGTATTCATGAAGTGCTCCACAAGTGAAGTCACTACAATTTTCTCTCGATTCTCTTCTTAAATCTGGCCCTCAGGAAGAATTCAGCGGGGGGTGGGGGTCGGGGTGAGGGAGCAGAGAGGAGAAGGATATAGGAAGATTGTTTTGTTCTCTTTGTGATCAAGAGGTTAGGTTCTCAGGACATTCTGAATATGATATAGATTAGACTTCATTTTTTATCTATTTAAACTTTTTATAAATCCATGTAGAATAAGTATCATCATAAGCCCACTGGTGCAAGCTACTGAGAAAGGCTGTGTAGTCACAGTTCCTGGATTTGTCTAGGAAGAAATTCTCTCAGCACTTGTCCACTCCTGGTGCTTTGATACTGTGCCTGTGTGAAGCCAGAGAAACACTGGATAGAGACCCCCCCAGGGGACCTCAGAGTGCATGACTTCATGTGTCCAGGGCCCTGCGGGGCAGTGGGACCAGCATACTGGACTTACAGCTGGAGTGCTGGGTCTGAGGACTAGTTTCTCTCCTAACCTCTCCAGGATCACCTTCTTCATCTGTGAATCAAGGACCAATAATGATGGTAAAGGAAATGACACTTTTCTCCCAAAGAAACCTCAACGATTCAATAAATTAATATATGTGAAAATGCTTCATCAGCCCTAAAGCACTCTGCAAATGTGAAGTGTAAATGCTTCTACATATTTGGGACCATCTCACCAGTGCCTAGGAGAATGCCACCCTCAGAGGATGCACTCAGTACAAATACATTTATGATGTTCTTTTATAGCTACATTTTAAAAAGCATGGTTATTGTTCTAGAGCAGGATGTAAACATTTTTTCACTTTCTTTTGTATCACAGACCTCTTTGAATATCTGATAAAACGACAGTCACTTTATCTCTCAAAAAAAAAAAAATCAGGAAAAATAAACCGTGCTAATACATACACCCAATAACATTTTACATACAATTTCTGGAGGCTCATAACCTCCTCTAATGCCCATCTCAGCTTAAGAAAATGCCTCTGCTAGAGATTTACAGGCTTCAGCTCTGAGTGAAGTCTGGGAGACAGACTGTGTGGGAAAATGAATGTCATAATGATGTTTAGCATTTGCCTGAGCAAAATCCTACAGGGAACATCCCTGAGATTCTAATGTACTCAAATGATGCTCTTGAAAAAATAGTTTGCATCTGATTATAAATAGTCTATTTAAATGAAAACGTGCTCAAGCTAAAGAATGGGTCTGCCCCATATGCGTGGCGACCCTAGCTCACTGAGACTTTTGTACAGAAAGTCGTGGTCCGGATATCTGAATCCTTTGGCCCCACAATGGGCGGCTATCCGGTATCGGCTGCGAGGTCTCGTTACCGCGGGGCGAGGCGCCTCCAGGACGCTCGGATGCCTGCTCAGAGCCCAGCTTATCGGGGATCTGAGAGCCTCCTGCCAGCGGCCCTGGCTGCGTCCTATCTCGGGGGACAGGATTTTGCCTCAAGCAACACACTATTTTTGGCTTAGTGGCGTCCTTGCAAAGCAGGATTTCATTTTGGATACAGGGAGTTCAGGACCAGGGCCAGCTCAGCAAAGATGGAAACGTAAAAATCTACACCAAGATCAAGTCAAGCGAGCGAGATCATCTCCAGAAATGGAAAATGAAAAGGAAAGAAAATAGCTGAGCAGGAAAAGCATTGTCACGCTTGCCCCATCCAGCTGGGGCCTTCAATGGAAGAGCGCAAAAAGTATTTGCCCCAAGTGATGCTTAAAGCCAGCGAGGGCGCTTGCTTTTAAGTTCACAGTGCACTGCCTCCTATCTTCAGGTGGCTTATGGCATCTTGGTTATTGGATGTAAATGTCGCCCTCATGAGAAATGCCCAGGTCACCCGCCTGACCGAGCCCACACCCGCCGGGGTTCCGGAGATCGGAGGCCTCCTGGAAGGCAGATGGCAGGAGGCCTGGATGTTGGCTCCTCTACCCCCAGCTAGGTCAAGTGGCGCGGCGCAGGCAGCTGGAAGGCACCCACAGAGAGAAATCGAGCACCATGTTCAGAAAGATCCAGTCCATCTTTAACTCCAGCCCGCAGAGGAAGGCGGAGGTGGCGGAGAGTTCCTACTACGACGGAGCCAGCCGCGCCGTGAGGCTGATCCGCAGCAGCTCCGTGTATGTGGTCGGGGACCACGGGGAGACATTCAGCGAGTCCTTGAAGAAACACAACAGCGCCAGCAGCACGGACACCAGCCTGTACTGCCTGCAGCAGGAGGGGGACCGGGCGTGGATGTGCTCGCGCACGCAGGCCTGCCTGCAGTACTTAGGGGAGCTGCTGGCCCTGCGGAAGAAATACCTCAGCAGCCTCCACGACCTGCAGCCCAGCCGCGCCCAGGCCGGCTCCTCCACCTCCTCCAAACCCTCCCACGGAGGAAGAAAGGCCCGGGGCCAGTCCACCTCCAAAGAAATAAAGGTAAGTGCCGCTGAGAAGCACAGCTTAGAGTCGTTCCAAGAGCCTCTGATGCTGGTTTGAAACGTGGCCCAGCCCCCTTCTCATCCACGCGCAGTTTAATGAATCTGCGGGTTCTGAGCAAGGGCTCAGTCGCCCTCAGAGACTCTCCATTGCCATCTCCCCGGCCTGGGGAGGGGCGGCTAGTCCCGTGTTGATTTTCCCCGAGGGAGGCAATGGGAAGGAGCGGTTAATGCGTCTACAGAGCAGCCTGGGGGGAGGGCCTGGGCTTCCGTGTTCGGCCCAGTCCTGCATCTGTCGTTTACCGCCCACTTCAGGGATGAGATGCTTGTATGGCATCTAAAAATTCCCGGGAAAAGTGAAATCTTCACGTGAAGTAGATGTTTTAACATATATAGGTGCTTAGCCCCGCGTAAGCCAAACAGCTAGAGGATTTGCTCCATCTCTACGTTGGGCCCAGGTGTTTTGGAAACTCCAGCACAGTCTCAGAGAGAGTCTGTGACCCTCAAGGAGATTGCATGACCGCCTTGCTCGGCACCAGAGGCTTCCAGCCCAGCTAGAGCAAGCAGGAAATTAGTGAAAGAAATAACTTGCATTTATCTCATCGTTTACAGCTATCGCAGTGTTTGTATACATTCTCTTTCTTTGCGCAGTCCAATGATGTACCACAGAAGAGCAAGCTGAGGCTTGCTGATCTGATTCCGATAGGACCCCAATTCATTCACTTGCTCATTCCTTCATTTCCTCAGTTTGTTTTTAATGTGTGAGGTTTGAGGCTGTTTTGTCTTAAATCTCCATCAATCTTTGTCCTGATGACTGGACTCTAAGGTGTTCAGAGCAGGCCCATCTCCCCCACATCCTAGCTGTTTCCCCCGTGCAAGCCCCATTAAAGCTGAATGACTGATTGGCCTGCTAGCCAATCTCTGGGGCTCAGCCTCACCCACCTGGTTTCAACTGTCTGCATTTTATCCCAGGAAGCAGCAGCTTAAATAATCATTTTAACTCCCAAAGTTTGTCAGTGTTGGGGCGCATACAGAGGGTCCTACCCTTAGGTCTCAGTACCGACCCTGCGGCCAGGCAGCTGTGGATTTGTGGGCCAGTCACCCCTCATTCAGGGCCACCTCCAATGACAGAAGGGGTACAGGGGCTTCTAGACTCCCTTCCAGCTTGAGTGTCCCGGGGGTCTAGGCTCTGGTTAGGTTTCCTGTATGCACTACAGTGTCCTGCAAAATGGAGCCCTCTCTTTATAGAACCTCCCTCCCTTCGTCCCTGCTCCCTCCCTAGTCAAGCTGCCTGAAGATAGAGGGAGAACTCAGAGGCAGGACAGCCAGCTGTGGCCGTATAGGAATGGGGTGAAGAGGGGCACAGACATGACACAATGTATGGGTTTCCTCAGGAGACACCTCTTACCATGCTGTCACCAGGAAAGAGTTTTAAAATAGCTTTGAAGTCAGTCAGATCAAGGGCTGAATTTTAGCTCTGTCTTTACCAGCTGTGTGCCTGTGTTAAGTTGACCTCTCTGGGCCTCTATTTCTGTAGCAGACAAATGGAAATGAGACTATCCCTTGTGAGGAGGAAGCAAGATCCTGCCTGTGGTGGGACCTGGCACATCCTAGGTAGTCCAGGGCTTAGTAACTCTGAAATGTAATGTAAGAGCAGCCTGTGAACAAGCTGCCCTCCTTCTTCACTCCTAAAGAAAGAGGTGTGTGCTGGGTGTGCCTGAGAAACGATGGGTGCAGTCTCCGTGGCTAGCAAGGTGGCCTGTGGCTGCCTGGCTCTCTGTGCACGGCAGGGGCAGGGGACCAGGAGAGCTGCTTCTTTCTGGAATGTCATCATCTTCCTGCATTGGTAGAAACTGCCTGCCGATGTTCAGATTTAGGGCAAACATCATTTTTTCCCTGACCCCCTGTTACGTGCTGAATTGTGTCTCCCCCAAATCATATGTTTAAGTCCTAACCCCCGCGACCTCAGACGGTGACCTTATTTGGAAAAAGGGTGATTACAGATGTCATTAGTTAGTTAGGGTGATTGCAGGTTATTAGGGTGGACCCCTAATCCAATATCACTGGTGTCTTTATAAGAAGGGGAAATGGGGACACGCGCGTGCACACAGAGAGAATGCCAGTGAAGATTGGGGTTATTCTGCCACGAGCCAAGGAATTCCCAGAAGCTAGGAGAAGGGCCTGGAACACATCCTTCCCTGGCGCTTTCAAAGAGAGCATGGCCCTGCCGACACTGTTCTCAGACTTCTAGCCTCCAGAACTGTGAGACACTAAATTTCTGTTGCTCTCGGCTGCCCCATTCGTGGCGCTTTGTTACGGCAGCCCTCGGAAATGCATACACCCCTCTGTAGAATTAGTCTTTTCTCTTCTCCAACGTTAGTCTAAACGCCTCTCTGTCCTCACATTTGTCACATCTTGCTGTGGTTTGTTAACACGTGTGTCTCCCCTGGTGGACTGCAGGGAGCACGGTGAGCTTGATGAAGCTGAAAGAGGATCTTTTTTTTTTTTTTTTAAAGATTTTATTTTTTATTTATTTTTCCCCCAACGCCCCAGTAGATAGCTGTCTGTCACAGCTGCACATCCTCCTAGTTGCTGTATGTGGGACCCGGCCTCAGCATGGCCGGAGAAGCGGTGCGTCGGTGCGATCCCGGGATCCGAACCCGGGCCACCAGCAGCGGAGCGCGCGCACTTAACCGCTAAGCCACGGGGCTGGCCCTGAAAGAGGATCTTGATCATTTTTCTATCCTCCAAGCATAGCAGTGAATACTTACAGGTCACGTATGGATGCTTTATAAACTTTAAAGTCAAATGTTTTTTCTGCCATGGATCAGGGGAGAGTGAGCAGTGTTCCCTGGGCACCATGGCACCATGGCAGATCTCCCTCCCTCCCCACAAATGCCAGGCCCTGGCCTGGCCATAGAACCTAAGTTCCTCTGTCTGTCTCTCTTTTGGGGAAAGATAATGGCTTTTAAACTGTTTTGTTTAAAACTCTCAGTAAGAAATATATTTTAGATATTGACCCAGTTTAGCCAAACACACAACCAAAAGTGTCATGAAATAGACTAATACTTGTTCTCTGTTTGGTAATCTGATGTTTTTCAAAGTATTGTATACTATTCTTGTTTTTTTTTTAACCTTAGTCATGACACACTAAATTTACTTCACAAGCTGCTACTGGGCTAAGACCCACAGTCTCACACCCTGGAGTAAGGCATTCTAGTAGGTCCTGTTGAAATGCTAACATAGCTAAGGCAGGAGGCACCAGGGTGCCAAATGGCCTTTTAGCCCAGCCCCTTGGAGATCCTGAGAGCCTGGAAGGGCAACCCTGTGTGTCCATGGGAGGAGGAAGTGAGGACAGGTCAGAAGGGAGGTAAGCCTGGGGTGAGTGTTGGAAGCCCCCTTAGCCCCTGCATGGTTGGGGTCCTGGCCAGGCCCTGTAACAATCTACTTCTCCCTCAGAATAGGAGGCCCTTACGAAAATGAATGAAACACACTTTTTGCAACATTTTAAAATCAAAACAAACAAAAAATTTGTATTCAGGATTTTTGGTTTAGCGTTGGGCATAAGCTGCAGTTTGGGACTCATCATATTTGGATGGTCAAATGTTAGAATTTCCAACACAGTGCAAAGTTCATGTGGCAGAAGGACAGCATATTTCAAATTGTCCTGTCCTGGAACGTAGAGTTCAGAGGGCAAGACCACCTGACCCCCCTGCCCTGGGCGCTTTGGGTGTTTCTGCCAGGGAAGGGGAGCAGTGATGGTCTCCTCCACGCCTCCCTCCCCTGGCTCCTGTGCCACAGCCCAGGCACAATCAGGAACAGTCAGCAGTTATCCCTGACTTTTCATCATCCTCCAAACCCAACATGAGTATTAGCCCCATTCTACAGATGAGAAAACCGGGGCTCAGAGACGTTAAGCAATTTATGTAAGTCTGTGCACCTGATGAAGAGAGCCAGGATTTAAACCCAGTCTGTATTGTGTCAGAACTCACACTCTTGTCAGTGTATCCACAGCGCCTTTCAGTTAGAAAGCATATTTTGAGCTCGTATAATGTATATCACATGTGAGAGTGTGCGCCTCAGGACTAGGCGAGGAGGCTGCTTTATCCTGCACATCTAGGCCCGGGGTGGGGGTGGGGGAGAATCCTCAGGGAGGTTCCTGTCTCCTACCCTGTGTGGACTCTGCGTGAGGGTGGAGCTCTCCCGTGGGGCTGTGCGGCCCAGGCTCGCTTTGTCCCAGAGAAACTTGGACGGGAAGCATGACCGGAACGCATGCTTTAAGCTCTCCTCTCCACAATCCATGAGTAAAATTTCCCTCCACCTTGACACCTTCTCTTCACATGGCTACCTCTGATTCTGTTTTTAGTCTTGGTCTCTGTAGCATTAAAGCATTGAGTTTGTACTACCTACTTTTGCCCTTCTCGACACGCACGAGGAAAAAAGCTGGGGAAACAGTGTGAGCACAGCTACAGCAGGAATTTCACAGTGGGTAGGTATTGTGTCCTCAAATCATTTCAACAGAAATACTTTCAGACTTCCCAACTCATTCTACAAAGTCTCTGAGATGAGCCACACACCAGCAGAATAACGTAGCAACAGAAACTGGAAAATCAGGAGAGAAAAAACATCAACAGAAAATCAAGACCACTCAAAAGAATATGCAGATCTTACAGGCTAATTCAGCTGCTATAGATGAGCTTTAAATTTGGCTCTGCACTTTCTGGAAGCTGCAATAGAAATAAAGCTGGACTCATTTAAAAATTCTGACTATCTCAGAGGAAGAACCATACCTGTTGCTTAGGGGAAGCAAGAATTTTCCCAGCTTTAATTCCAAAATTTCTCATATGGGACTTGACACAGGGAACTGTGCGTGATGTGGTTTGTAATGCCTTCAATAATATTTTAGTAACAATTAAATAGATATGTCATTCATTCATTCCTTCATTCATTCACCAACACATGTTTATTGAGCACAGGCTATATGTCAGGAACTATTCTAGA